CCCACCTAAGCCTACCAGGGGAGTAGGAGAGAGAGAGAGAGAGAGAGAGAGAGAGAGAGAGAGAGAGAGAGAGAGAGAGAGAGAGAGAGAAAGACCTCACCTGCACTTACTGGAAGAAGCTATAGGAAGACGGCAATACAAGAAAAGACCTAACAATAGAAAGACAAGCATGATACCACCAGAATCTAGGAACTCTACACCAACTAGACCTGAACACCCCAAAGCAGATGAAGAAGAAGAGAACAACTTAAAAAATATATTCTTAAAATATATTCAAAGATGGTATGAGAAAATTCTTTAAAGAAATAGAAGAAAAAACAAACAAAAAAATGGAAGAAATGAACAAATCTCTTAAAGAAAGTATGGAAAGCCAAGAAAAAAACAATTAAGCAGGTGAAGGAAAGAGTTCAAGACTTGAAAACTGAAACAGATACAATAAAGAAAACACAAACTGAAGGAATGCTGGAAATAGAAAAACTGGACAAATGATCAGGAACTACAGACACAAGCATAACCAACAGAATACAAGAGAGGGAAGAAAGAATCTCAGGCATGGAAGATAACTGAAATGTGTCTCCTCACAGAGACTGGAAGTTTCCTCAGAGGGCCACAGACTTGTTTCCGATCTCTCTTTGGACTTGCAGATGACCACTCTCTTTTTGTCACATGGTCAGCCTTCTACACTCATACACCCCGTTTCTCTGTGTATCAATGTGCTCTTCCCATAAGAACACTGGTTGTATAGATTAAGACTTACTCAGCATGACCTCACTTAACTTAGTGGCCTCTTTAAAGGCCTGTTTACAAACACTCTGAAGTACTAGAGATCAGGACATGTGACTGGGGATATATAACTTAGCAGTTAGTGAAGTCAGAGGGAGGCTCAGTGTCTCTGCAAACTGTGGCCCTACTTCCTGCTCCCTTTCTGTGATATGATCTTAGCTATCAGATCCATAACTCTAGGCCTGCTGTGGTGATATTTTGTTTATGATCTAATAAAGCTTGCCTGAAGATCAAAAAGCAAAACTGACCACAGCCATAGAGGCCAGGCAGTGGTGGTGCACGCCTTTAATCCCAACACCAGAGAGGAATATACGACAGGAACTCAAGGTATTCACTGGGTATTCAGACTGCAGTCACGCTGAAGACAGGATCACGCAGCCTTGGTAGAAGTAAGAACTCTTTGGTGGCCAGCTGTTTTGCTTTCTGATCTTCAGCTTGAACCCCAGCACCTGTCTCTAGGTTTTTATTTTTAATGCTGCAGCCTGCTAGCCAGCTAGGGACTGATGAGGTGCTGGAGGGTCCGACCATTCTTGCCTAGGGGTGGCAGTACTCTCCCATGTTTGGAGGCATCTGGCAGGGCTGAGCCTTGCACCCTTCCAAAATCTAGGTGTCTGAATGAAAAAAATAAATAAATAAATAAATAAATAAATAAATAAATAAAAAGGGCAAAGGCAAGGCCATGACTGCTCCTAGATGTGGTAGAGGAGAAAGTTCATTGTAGATAAAAAAGGAGAGCATAGCCAGAGGCAGGAACCTCTGGGAAAGTCCAGAGTAGACATGACCAGACTGAGCTGGGCTATATGGGGACAGGAGAGAGGGAAGGAGAGAGTGGAGGAAGGGGAAAGGGGAAGTAGGTGCAGCAGCCAGGAGACCAAAGGTCCAAAAGAGGATGGTAACCAAAATGTCTGGGTTATGTAGGGAAGAGCCTCTGGGGGAAAGGCGGCACAGCCCTGGGCTGAAGAGGGCAGGGTATGCCAGCTACACCCTATAGCAGGTAGGGACTGAGGGATGTATTAAATAGCTACCTCAGTCACTTCTCCTGGGTTTGACACTTAACCGTGTCCTGTGTATTCTGACTGATGGTTCAATTCTTTGGTCCACAAATCAAGCTTTGAGAAAGGAAGTTGATGTCCCCTTTTGAAAATTTGGTTAAAACCATGGAATGTCTCCTCTGAGAAGATGAAATGCACGGTGTGGTTATCTGAATAAAAATGGCCACCATAGGTCCTTAGGGAGTAGCACTATTACAGTAGGTGTGAATTTGTTGGAGGAAGTATGTCACTGGAGCCGGATGCTCAAGCCAGGCTCAGTGTGGCAATTCTCTTCCTGCTGCCTGCCAATCCAGATTTAAAACTCTCAGCTAAATCTCTAGGACCATGTCTGCCTGCTTGCTGCCATGCTTTCCTCCATGATGATAATGGACTAAACCTCTGGACTGTAAGTCAATTCCAATTAAATGTCTCCCTTTAAAAGAGTTGCTGTGGTCATGGTATCTCTTCACAGTAAAGAACACTGACTAACACAGAGATAAAACGGCTTTTCATACACGATCAAGGACAACGTAGTTCCAGAAAGCATTTCATAGACCTGTGGCCTTGCTGGTCCTACCAGGCTCATCTGCTGTTTATCTCAAGAACTGCACATCCCCTCCTGTACCCCATCCCCAGTACGCAAAGCCAGCCTCCCGGCTTATCTCACTCTTTCCAGCCTGTGTGGTCTTGCATTTGCTCCTCCTCTGGCTTCTGTGCAGTTTCCTTCAGAGTCCCCGCTGCACACTTCTACAGTTCTGTCTTCTTTACTGTCAGCTCCGCTTTCTAAGCATTGTGGGTGAAACAAAGTGTTCCTTTAGGCTGTCTCTCCATGAGCCTCTTTTGTGAGGTTCACAATACTGGGTTTTGATTACTTCCTTGCTCGTCTTTCTCTTTTATTGGATTTTGAGGGTAAGATCTATGCATTAATCAGTGAAATTTTCCTAGCAGCTGTTATGGAGCTGAGGCAAGTAATTGTAAATATCGGTAGAAAGAACAAACGAATGATTGAAGGAGAGGAAGTATGAGTTCCTGAGGAGGATTAATTTGCATATTTTGAGTGTGAATCCCAGCTGTGCCACTGACTAGAATCGTGATCTTAGGGAAATGACCCTCCAGCCTTAGTTTTCCAGTCTCAGAATGGGGCAAACAGAATTTACCTCAAGACAAACAGACAATATCTATAGATACATTTTAACTGTACCCTGTCACTAGTTACTTTTGGAGTGAAATGACAAAACTAAAGGATAAGTGGATCTGCATCCTTTTATTACTTGTAACAAAAATACACCCCTTAAATGCTCACTGGATGCAAAACGTGATGTGGAACAGGCTTCTGGGAGTTAGGGTAAGCCTGCTGAACTCTAAAGTAGAAAGAGAGATGTGCTATGAGAGAGGTCTCAACTGTTAGGTTAAGTGGTCATTGATAGTGCTGGGGATCCTGTCTTAGACAATGTAGAAGGTAAGGACAGATGCCTGAGGTTGTCACTCACTTCCACACAGTCACCGTGCCATGCATGAAGCTGCAGCCACACAGGAACATGCACACATGCCTGTGCTTCTCCTGCATGAAGAGTTCGTAGCAGAGCAATGGAGGTTCTCCAGGAGAAGTGCTGCGTGGGATGGATCTAGAAGGAAAGATAGAAAGATGTTAGTGACTCGGGAGGAAAGAAGGGGCTGTGTGCCACCAGGGACAGGGACAGATCCCTAAGAGGGACATGTGAGTGTCATTATCTTCCTGATGCTGTTGCTTTCTGGGAGCCTACAGTTTTGGCTTCTGGAACTGATGGTTAGCTATCTGCCTTTGCTCCTAAGCAGTGTTCCTAGACTGTCTATCTTGTGGAGCCCTGGTCCTCTAGGTAAAAGAGCCCCTGCAGTCCACAGCTAAGGTGGATATGAGCCTGTTTGGTGGTTGGCACTTAGCAGTGGCAGTTATGTTGTTGCCCTGTGCAGTGTCACTGGGCCCTGACAGGGGTACAGGCGCCATTGCATGGGTGATGAATCACACCCCCACAAACTGAACTCCACAAAGAGAATGAGTCAACATACAGTCTTGGGAACCAGTGACCGTTCTCACCACTGATAGCAAATTGTATCATTTAGACTCAAGCTGCTTGCCAATGAGCCAGGGAAACACACAGAGACGCTATAAAAAATGATGGTTCTCAAAATACTTCATTTTACATGTGATAATGAAACGACTCTTTTTTTTTTTTTTTAATCCTTGAATCAGATATCATTTCCAGGAATCCCTTTCTAGAACCATCGTATTGACTTAGGCCGTTGCCTTGAACTGTCCTTGAACTTGCTCTGTAGACCAGGTTGGCTTTGAACTTAGAGATCTACCTGTCTCTGTCTCTTGAGGGCTGGGATTAAAGGCGTGTGCCACCACCAACCAGGTTACTTTCTTATCTGTAAAACCAACATGGCCACGCAACCTTCCTCATCATGTGGCACTTGGGATTGGCAATAAATAAATAAATAAATAAATAAATAATTAAATAAATAAATAATTCGGTATATGCTAAGGGACATCTTAGTGCCTGGCTCATAGTCAGGGTTCTTTCTTCGGACACAAGCCTGGCTGCTCTCTCATCTTCTTGTTACCCAGTAAGGCAACCCTGACCCCACCCCCCACTCTACTCCCATTGTCCTATTGTCTGCTTTGTGTTTTTGTCCACAACGCTGTATTCACACACCTTGACTTATATTTACCGGCAACATTTATTGTCTGTCTCCTTACTAGACAGATGCTCTACAAAGTTGGTGTTTGGCACCTGATATAGCTCAGATGGACAAATACAAATGCATGCAGAAGAGAGTTGTGGCTGCTAACTCAGCCCACTGGTAACTGGATCAGTCTGGATGATGTTTGATGCCCCTTGGCATCTGTACCTTTAGGTTGGGGGAGTCACTCAGAAACTGAGGTAATAATTTAAGTAGTGCATTATGGAGGGCGCTAGCTAGCCTCACTGAACTTGAACCCAAGGCTGAGAATAACTGAAAGCCTGTTCAAGTGGACCATTTTCTTCTTGTTCAGTTCAGAAGAGCCTGGTACTCAAAGTTGACCTAAGAGACCCACTACAGTCCCAGAGACGGCAAAGTATCCCTGGATACACCCCCCCCCCGCGCCCCTTTTTTTATGTTCAGTGAAGGAAGTACTTTGGTGCCCCAACGCTGGGAAGGCATCTCAGGAGCTCACCACCAGCCTCTGTGCCCAGCGCCGCCTCCGCCACTAGGTCGCTAGCACGCATCTCCTCCGCAAGGCGGCACAGGGAGCGAATCGCACAGCTGCGGCCAGCTGTGGTGGCGGTGGCGAGGCTTGGGCATTGAAGGAGCCTGCGGTAACCCGGGACAGGACAGGGCGTGGGGCTTGCCTGGGGTCTGGGTGCCTTTCAGTCTGCCCCGGGATCGGAGAGGGTGAAGATGGGGAGCGGAGTGGGTGAAGATGGGGAGGGCGGGGAAGAGCGATCCGGGTTTGGATGGCATGGAGAGCAGCTTTTGGGCGTCTTGAAGGGCTTTCAAGTTCGAAACCCGCCCGGCTGCTGAGATCAGCCTTTCCATCCCGAGGGGGTCAGGAAACCCTAGATAAAGCTCCTGGCGCTGTGAGCGCAATGGGCACCACGACCTAGCCACACCCTCTCCCGCAGGTGAGAAACTTTCCCGCCGCCAGGGCCTCAGCAGAGCATCTACAGAGCCCAGAGTCTGGAGACCAGTGCCTCCAGACCAAGGGCGTGGTCCCCAGATGCGTACCTTCTGCAGTGTGAGTCTGTTTTTCAGGACTAACCCTGCTGTTAACAGGTTTGTTCAGACTGGGGAACCGGTCTTGTGTCACTTTAGTGGTGAGGTCGCAATTGCAACTCCCTCCTGCGTTCTTCTCTGTCCTGTTCTGGGTAGTGAAGTGAGGAAGGCCTTCTGAGAGCAAGTGCACCAGGAGACTGTTCAGAAGCTTCGGTTTTCACAGCACTTTAGATGACACCGAGCACCGGATATTGTACTCGATTTAATCCGGCAATCGGGAATGTTTTGAGAGCAAACGAAGCTTGGAAGAAAGTGCCCCTATAGCTCCAGGGAAGACGGAGGAACTGCCACACATAAATTAATCCTTAGGAACTGCCCCCTCCCCCAGGTAAGTAACAGTATTTTCAGTCGCGGGGAAAATGAGATGAGAGAGCAGAGTAACATTTCCCAACCCGATTCCACCCGTTAACAGTGGGGGTGGGGAGATCTGAAAACTAAAGCTGTGATTCCTGGCTAGGAGTGCAGCAGCAAAAACAGGCATAAGAGAACAGCCTGGGCTGCAAGGATCCAGGGAAGGTGGCAGCACTGTCAACTGGCTTTGGTGCTTGGTGAGATCTTGAAGTCCAAAGGGACTTATTGTTGGAGATTAGCTGTCTGGCTGGGTCACTAAAAGCATTTGGAGTCTCCCTTGCACAGGCAGGAGAACTAGGAGACATTGCAAAAGATGGGGACCTCAACATCGCCTCCCAAAACAAGTTCTTGTAAAAGACAGCTCAAGACCACCCAGAAAGGCATTCCCAGAGGCCATTTATGGCAAGCAGGGCTGTGGGTGGGGGTGTGCCATCTCCATGTTTCTACAAATGTGAGTTGTGACTCATTAGGGTAATGATACTAGTCTAGTAGGTGGCAACCCGGTATTTTGAAACCATGGAACTCAATAGAAGGGAGAGAAAGCATCAGCACTTATTGTGAGAGCAAGAGTGGATGTGTGTCCTGTGCATGCATTTCTGTTGTGCATCCTGCTGTTGCTACCTTCTTAACTGGGCTGCTCCTAGCCTGCCCCTGGGCTGACCCGCCTGTGCTTACTTGGGGTTGTCTCTTACTTTGCAAATGACATCATCTTCACATTCTAATGGTTTCTATTGGCTGGCAGATGCTGGGATATTTCACCATTCAGAATCCATTTTTGAATTCTTCGGTTTGTTTTTGGATTTATAAGGTCTGCAGGGTGGCAGTAACTTGCTGAGGGGCTTCTTCATATGTTTCCTTTAGTTCTCAGGCTATGATGACTATTATTTCCAATTTACATCAGAGGGCCTACAGATACATTGGAGTCACTGATCATGTGTGTGTGTGTGTGTGTGTGTGTGTGTGTGTGTGTGTGTGGCTTTGCAGAGGCATGGAAGGCAATCTCCTGCTACATCAAAGGGTGGGATATAAGGCAGTATTTAAATTGAGAAGAGCTTTGTGTGCCTTCTCCTTGGTGCCACTTACTGGGACAAAGATGTTTAGTGGTGGGAGGCACTGATTAAAGTTGCAATAATTACAGATCTGACTAGAAATATGCCTGAAAAGGGTACTAATCCTAGAATTTTGGGTTCACAGTCAGGTCCAAGCTCTAGCTCTGCACTGAAGTTCAGAGACAATTTTAAAATAGAGGAAAGGGGACTGGAGAGATGGCCAGGTGGTTAAGGGCACTGGCTGCTCTTCCAGAGGGCCTGGGTTCAATTCCTGGCATCCAAACTGTCTATAACACCAGTTCTCCAGGATCTGATGCTTCTCTTGGCCTCCCTGGGCAGTGGACACAGGTGGTTAGTAGAATACCTGGTAGGTAAGCATGGGAACTGCATTTGGATCCCCAGCATCCTAATTTTAAAAATGGTCAGGTGTAGTGGCCATAATCCTGATGTTACAGAGCTGGAGGCAGGAGGGTCCCTGGGGCTTTTTGGCCAGCTAGTCTTTGTGAATTCATGAGCTTCGGACTTGAGAAAGATCCTGTGTCAAAAAGCAATGTGGAGAGCAATAGAGGGAGACGCCTGACACTAATCTCTTGCTTCTCCACAAGCATGCACATACATGCATGTATACCACCCCTCCCCCCTGGCCCATGGGTAGCCAGATGAGTTTCACATGATTGTAAATTCTGCTGTGTGGGAAAATGAAGTAAGAGGACATGTTTGAGGTCAGCCAGTGAGACCTTGTCTTAGAGACACGTGTGTGATGGGGAGCGGGGGTGAGTAGGAAGAGATGAGATGGCAGGATGGTGCCTCTGTGATGAGCTACTTCCATGTGAAAGACAGACATCCTGGGGTTTCTGTAATGAGGCCTAGGGAAGAGACTGGATTTCCTTGGTAAGGGTATGCTATTCCTCACGCCCATTAGTGTGAGGCCCGTTACCTGCTGGGATAGTAGGTATGGTCTTTTACTGAACCACTCGTAACACACCCAGGAGGTGGGACGGTAATTATCATTATGCCCATTTAACAAGCAAAGAGACAGAAGCACAGAGGAGTGAGGGACTTGTCCATAGACCAATAGCCAACAGACAGGGGAGTTGAGATGAGAGCCAGGCATGTAACCATCGTCACCTGTTCCCTCCGAGTGGCATTAGGTTCGGGTCCACTGCACTCCATGTTCCATTCTGAACAGCACCTATTTAGAGGACAAGGACCACTTCAGAGAATCTGGGAGGAAGGTGGCTGGGAACAAGAACCTGGAGGCCAGGTCATGAGAGGATCAGATAACATTAGCCTGGCAGAGAAGAGGCGTGGCCAGCATTTGAGCCAGTCCTGAGATAGCTGACCAGCAGCATGTGGCTTCATTCAGTGGTCAGGACTGTTCAGAAGAGGGGTTTCCCACAGGATTAGAGGGTGCTGTACTTTGTTTTGCAATGTTCACATTCAGTTTTGTTAGAAAAGAAGAAGAAAAGGAATCAGAAGTTAGCACTCAATGTTAGCAAAAATGTGCATGTAGGTGAAGTAAGTGCGCCGGGGTAAGCTCTCTGTCTTCCTGCTTTGAACTTGGACGGGTGAGAAACTGGCCAGCAACTCAGTAGACAACGGCGAAAGAGAGCAAAGGTTCCCTTGATCCAGTCGGGAGCATGGAGAGAGGTCAGAGTTGCATTTGTATCCAAAGTCTGGACATTCCAGTTCTTTTGGGTCTTTGAAATGGCTTTGTGAGTAGAAGAGTCATGAACACTCCAGTGTTAAGCCGGGGAAGATGAATGCATTTCAATGGGTGTTGGAAAATAAATACTTGGTCAGGTTCCACAAATTGTGGCTGTTCAGAAGATGGGTGTTTTATGCTTAGATTAAAATAGGGAAGGGTAGCAAGCTGTTTGCTTGATCCTACATTTACTTCTGATGGAGGAAGAGTTAGCTATGGGAGCAGCTGGACAAGAAAGTGCTTACTTAACCAGTATTCCAGAGACTCACACTTGGAAAGAGAGGCTCATCAGAATTGGGGGGGGGGGACACACACCACAATAAACACTAGAAGAGAAGTACCCTGCAAAATTACTGACTATACCAACTATGCGTTTGTCTGTTGTTTGTGGCTGAAAATGACTTCTGCGTGCATTTCATTTTCCTAAATTTTTTACTTTTCTTCAGACATCAGCATAGCAAACGACTGGGATGGGACAGGTGGGGAGATGCATTTTCCTTAGGAGGTAGAACATAGTTAAGGTTTCATAGTCTGGGGAGAACCAGGGTCCACCTAAGATGATGCTAATACCGTCCAGGGGCTGGGGGATTAAATTTATTTTCTCTGCCAGGCAAGATCTGAAACATAACACGCAGCAGCAGAGAAAGCTCACAGATGTTTACTGGGGGCGAGGACACATGCATGCCACAGACACACCGAGAAAAAAAACCCTCTGCAAAGCAGAGGCTGGGAAGCCAAAACTCTGTTCTCTTCTCCAGGAGTGGGGGCTTTAAAGCTTCGAAAGGTTCAGTCCCCTCCTTTTGGGTTTGACAGATAGGACAGTTGACAGCCCCCAGCTGTTCTGTGGCAGGCCCTTATCTGGCCTTAAACTTGCTGAGCCAGTTCATCATAGGGGGCCTGCTGGCTGGCGACAAAACCTGCCATGCTTTTGTCTCCAGTCAGGAGGTTGAGGACATTTACTACCTTCATTACCTAGCTCTCTATCTGACTGCCTAACAGGGGGTCAGGCTAACTCCTAGGCTCTCAGTGCTATTGTTTTGGGTTTATGCCAAGGTACAAAGTGATTTTCCTTGTCTTTCTCTATAGGAGTATGAAAAGTATTTATTCCTATTAGAAAGATGGAAAAAGTATGTGAGACATACATTTTTGCTTCTCTTTCCTTGCCAACGTGCTGGTTCACCTTATGGTAGTGTTGCTTAGATGTGGAGTAAAACAAAGCAGAGGTCAAGAATCTCTTCAAGAGATGCTGACACTGTAGAAGGTGAAATGTTGGCTTAATTGTTGCATTTGTTACCAAGACCTATGTAATTACTTTGCTGACTAGAGAATACTACTAAAATATCCTTCAAGTCCTTCAAGTGAAAATGATTGACAAGCTTCAAATAAGCATCTCCTCAAAAGGTGCATTTACTTTTCCCAAACACGCCTGTCCTTGTACCAGCAAGACAACTTTCATGGGGAGGCAGGGCTGGCTGAGGGGACCGCCTTCCACAGTTGGACCACAGCTGCCCCGGTGTCAGACAAGAGGAGCTAAGTGGGGGATGTGACTGTGTGCCTCTCCTATCTGAGCTGAGAGTGCCAGAAGCAGATTTTGGCTACCATGGACATTCACTTCCTATTTAGAGTCACTCGACTATCTGCAGTTGCTTATTTACCATAGGAAGCTGCCTGCCACCAAGGGAAGGTGAGCTGGATGCCTTTGGGGACCCTCAGGCAAGGGGCGGACTCTACTTCCCACCCCTCCTTTTGCAAGGCCCCTCCTTGCTCTGTCCTCATCAGGTCCCCTCTGCAAGGTGAAGCTGTAGCTGCTGGAAACCATCACTGCCTTGCTCCACCAGGCTCTGGCTTGCTTCTTATGGGCAGTTCTGCTAAGATGACTGAGGGCTAGACAAACGGAGAAAGGAAACCATGCTGGCCCCTTAGGTCAGAGCTCCAGACCAAGAAGGTGATCCTTGTGTTTAACCTTTTCTGATGCACTGGCTCAACTTCCTATATTTACAAGATCAGATTGACACCTTCCTTCCCTGTGCACTTGCCTGTGGACAGAATGATTTACCTCAGGCTGTAGGAGTGGTGTGTGCTGCTTGGGGATGGATACCACTGGAGGGAAATAAAGAAGCTCTTTGTGACAAATCACCTCCCAAGTGATTTAAGACATAGCCTATTCCACTTACTGCTGTCTGTGCCAAATGTTTCCGAAACTCTGATAATTAAAACTTCCAG